TGGCTCATTGTGGCTGAGCCTACAGTGGGAATGCCCTCATTGCCTTCTCTCCATTTGGCCAAGCTCTTCTGTCCTGGGCTGGGCTAGGAGCTGCCTCTTCCGGGAAGCCCCCTGGGTTGCTGGGCTCACTCCCAGCTCTCCCTCTGACCCACTCTGTGTCCTCCCTCTTGTGACACCTGTGCTGAAGGCCTCTGTGTTTCAGGCAGCTGGCATCTGCTTAGCTGGGGGCTGGCTTGCCCAGGTGTGGGGAAGTATAGGTGCTAGGGAGGAAAGGCCCCAAATCCCCAGGAAGTGGGGAGAACTGGCCGTCTGAGGGTCCCTGCCACGCATTAAAGGAGTAAAACGCCACACTCCCAGCTTGGTCTTCTGGCTGGCAGAGGCAGACCCTGCCCTCGGGGATGGTGTGAGGTGTGGGGGTGCCGCCCCGTCCATCTGGTTGCCTGTCCATCCATCGATCTAGGTCTCAGAGCCAGCCACCCAGGGACCCTGGGACCGAAGGTCCTACCTCAGCAGAGCAAGCATGCACCCAGTGTTCATTCAACAAACGTGAATCGCTTTTGTGGCCAGTGCAGGCTTGGGGGCACAGAGGGGCCAGGGAGGGCTCCCTGGAGGGAAACCGGCCCGACGGAGACTAGGACTGGTTATGAAAAAGAAGCGGAGGAAGACAGGAGGAGCTTGCAGAGCCGGGGGGTTAGGGTTAGGGTTAGGGTTAGGGGGGCGAGGTCAGGGATCTGCAGCCTTTCAGCCCAGTGCATCTGGGACGGGATTGGGGAGGATGGAGAGGGGACAGCGCCAACTGCTGGAGGGAGGGCTTTGTCTTGAGGGCAACGGGGCACTGGGGAGTTCCTAGGTCTTAGGGCAGTTTTGGTGGAAAGGAATTGCTCCATGCCCCCACGGAGGCCAGGTGAGCCTGGAGGGAGCTTAGCGGAGTCTCAGTGGACACGCAGGGAGGACAGGCCATGCTCCCTGTTCTTCTCCACCCACTCTAAGGGCAGCAAGGTCCCTGGCCGCACTGTGAGTTTCGAGGGTGTCTCCACCAGGCTCCTGCTGCACTCAGCCTGGGCCTCCAGATTATCCTTCATTTTTCTTTTTTTGGAACCCACAGCCGGCCGGGAGCCAAGGCCTTACTTGCTCGGATAAATATTTAATAGTCAGAAGCATTTTCTAAAATGGAAACGTGGAGCTGGGCCCAGGAGGCAGGGGTGGGAAGGGCTGGGAGGGGCTCCCCCGTCCCCACACCCCGAGAGGCCTGCAGAGGTATTTGCAGCCACCGCCCTCCCCTCCGGCTGCCCATCCCTGCCCTGCCTGCTCTGCCTCGGAGACTTGCTGACCCAGTGTGTGCTATTGAGGGGGGAAGTGGCCTGGGGCCTCCTCTCTGCAGAGCCCTTGGGAGGGACTCCCTGTAGGGGTGGTGGTGGAGGGCAGGCAATTTCGAAGGCTGTTCCGGGCAGGAGTCGGGAAAGGGATCTCAAGCCACAGCCCTGCCTGGACTGGACCCCACCAAGAGTATAGTCAAGCAAGGGCAGCTGGGGGTGCCCGGGACGAAGCAGGGGCAGGACACTTGGGGGAGCCTCACTGGGCTATGTCCGTGTGAGCCCTGAGGCTGGAGGGGCTGTCCAGGGGTGGCGCCTGGGTGGGCGGGAGGCCCCGTGACTCAGCTCCACGCAGTGGAGTGAAGGCCCCTTTGTTTAGGGCTCCAGCCCTCGGTCCTCGGCCTGCTCCTGCTGCCTGGCAGGCCTGGCTCCTGGGTAAGCCAGCACCATGGGCTCCTTGGTGACACACACCCTGAGAATGCTGAGCTTCACGCCTTGGCCTTCTGCCGGCTGATTCACCATCCACTGCCCTCGGCCCTGCCCTGCCCCGCCCCGCCAGCAGCCAAGTTCCCATGACAACTCCTAGCTGGTCCTGGGTCCTGGCAGCTCTGAGCTGGGACTGGCTGTGCAGTGCACATCATGGCACATGCTGGACAGCCTTGGTTTCAGGGTACCTGATGTGGTGGCTCAGCATATGCCCTGACCACTGAGTCCCGCCACATGGTGCCAGGGGTCTGGTATGTGGAGTCCCTGGGAACTGAGGCAAGTGAGCGAGGTCCTGCCCAGCACCTGCCTGCTGGTGGTCAAGTGTGCCTCTCTCGGGACTGGATAGCAACAGGGGCAGGGTATGGAGTGCGGCTCTCCAGCTCTTACCCTCCACAGTACAGTGGCCCTGAGACAGAGCCCAGGGCCTCCAGCCTGACCGCTTCCCTTGCTGTGCGTCTGCACTGTGCTCTGGGCACCCACCGCCAGGGGCTCTGGAGCCAAGGGCTCAGTGCTGACCGCCTGGTGAGGGAGAGAGTCCAGGGTCTGAGCTGCGAGGGTGTCCCAGGAGAGCTAGTGGCACGTGCCTAGTCTGGAGAGGGCCTGGGGCAGGGTGTGGCGCGCTGCCCTGGTATCTGTTTTGGGGAGGGGTGCGCCGGGAGATCTCAGTCCTAGTTCCAGGGCTTGGTGGACCACACTGGGCGCACTGCAGCGAGCGTCTGGGAAGCGCTCCTGTGGCCAGCTCTGTAGGCACCTCTGGCCGCTGGGGCGGGGGCTGCAGCAAAGTCTCTTTCGGGAGTCAGTGCTGTGTCTGGTGTGATGGCCCTGCTCTGAGCCAGTGTCCCCTTCCTGTCCCACTGCAGCTGGGCTGGGCCTCTGGGTACAGTGCTGACTCAGCCAGCTCTGCCCTGCCTGGCAGAGTGTGGGTGTCAGATGGTAAACAGCATTCCCAGGTGAGAGCTGTCTGGGAGTGGAGGGTGTGTCCCTGCAGCAGGCCTGGCCAGCTTTCCTGCCTCAGTGTAAATAGAGTTGTTTTCTACCTTTGTGACCGTTAGGTTTTTGTGTCAGCGTCTTTAGGGCATTGCAATGTGGGGAGGCCAGGAAGGGGCCTGGCGGCTGGTGGGAGCCCCTGGGGCCTCTCCCGCCCCATTTGCCTGCCAATGCCCCTGCCCTGGGGCTGGGACAGAGCTTTTCTTGCCCTTGGAGTCCTCTGGTCTACTTGGGGACCCCTTCTCTCTGTGCCCACCTCAGGCCACCCTGGCATTCCGTGGGGACTCAGCTCCCTCAGCCACATCTTCCCATGCCTTCTGTCCGCCGCTGGGGTCTGGGGCGGGTACGGGCCATTCCATTGCTGACCTGGGCGGGTGTGACCCCTCGCTGCCCCTGAGCCCTGGGCTGGGCCTTGGCTGTGCGTGCCTGCTCCAGACTGCCTGTTGGAGGCAGGTCCCCACCTGGGCTATGGGCACAGGGCTGGCATCTGGGATCCCAGGGGAGCTACCCATAGCACAGCTGGGTGACTCCTGGCCGGGTTCTGCTGGCCGCCCAGAGCAAAGGGGAGTGGCAGCCGAGGGCCTGGGTTGCAGCAGGGAGAGGTCACCAGGAAGTGGGCCGGGTAGCTGGAGCTCTGGAGAGTGGGGGACTTGGGGTCATGGGACTTGGGTGTTTCTCAGCCACCACTTGTATCCCAATGACTGGAAAGGAGGGAAACCTTGTTTAAAAAAATGCTAGGCCAGTGCGGAGGCTCACACCTGGAATCTCAGCGCTTTGGGAGGCTAGGCAGAAGGATCGCTTGAGCTCAGGAGTTTGAGACTAGCCTGGGCAACATGGGAAGACCCATCTCTACAAAAAATTTAAAAATTAGCCTAAAGATTTAAATTAAGAATTAAAAACTAGTGGCTCCCGTGTCCACCCCCTGCACCTGGGCTCCCTTCCCAGTCAGCCCCCGGTGCCTGCCTGCTCGCCTCACTGCATGCTGGTGTGTGCCTGTAGCCCTACCTACTTGGGAGGCCAAGGAGGGAGGATCGCCTGATCCCATGCATATGAGACCAGCCTGGACAATATAGCAGGATCCCATCTCTCCAAAAAAATTTAAAAAGTAGCCAGGTGTGGTCGTGTCACCTGGAGCCCCAGCCACTTGGGAGGCTGACACGGGAGGATGGCTTGAGTCCAGGAATTTGAGGCTGCAGTGAGCCATGATTGCACCACTGCACTCCAGCCTGGGCAACAGAGACAGACCCTGTTTCAAAAATGCTGGTTCCGGCTAAGCAAGGTGGCACGTGCCTGTAGTCCCAGCTACTCGGTAGGCTGAGGCGGGAGGATCACTTGGGCCCAGGAGTTCTGGGCTGTAGTGTGATATGCCATTCAGGTGTCTGCACTCAGTTCGGCATCAATATGGTGACCTCCCGGGAGCGGGGGACCACCAGGTTGCCTGAGGAGGAGTGAACTGGCCCAGGTCAGAAATGGAGCAGGTCAAAACTCCCGTGCTGATCAGTAGTGGGATCGTGCCTGTGAATAGCCACTGCACTCCAGCCTGGGCACCATAGCGAGACCTCGTCTATGAAAAAAAAATTGCTGGTTCCTGAGCCCCACCACACCCTGCTTGCCAGATACCCTGGTGCTTTGAGGGGTGGGGGCTGCTGTGAGTTGGGCTGAGAGGGCTGAAAGGAGGCTGGGGTCGGCTGCCCTGGGGCCTCAGGCAGGTGGCAGCTGACCAGGCCCTAAGGCCACTGGCCCAGGCTCCGTGGGCTCAGTCTTGCCCTTAGGCTATGCCTCTCCTCCTCTCGGCCAGCCTCTGTCCTGGCACTCATAAGGAAACTGAGGCACAGGGCTTGTGCAGAGCCTGCCTGGGAGGGACCTGCCTCAGGCCTGTGTCTGTCCACACAGCAGGACCTGGTGCCCACTAAGGCGCTAGCCAGGCTGGGCTGGCTGTGTGACTCAGAGCGCCCTGTTCCTCTGCAGTCAGCTGCTCAGGCTGGGGGGGCACTCGGGGTGGGGTCCCCACCTCCAAGAAACTGCGTGAGTGTTGGAGGCTGGTCTGGTTCCTGGCCCGTCAGGGGACCCACCCAGTCCTGCTGGTGGGGCGTATGGGTCCTGGCAGGGCTCAGAGCCAGCCCTAGGAGCAGGCGGAGGTGGGACAATGGGGGGAGGAGCTGTGGAGGGAAGAACCGGGCGTGTCTGGGGGAGGTGGCCAGTTGGGATCTTCACTTCTGGGCCAGCTGGGAGAGCGTCTGTGGCTTCCTTGGTAAGTGGCTCCTGTGTTCACCCCCTGTACCTCGGGCCCCTTCCTGGTCAGCCCGGGCACCTGCTTCGAGGGTGTGTGGGTGCCAGCAGGCCGCCAGCAAGGGGGCTAGAGGAACAGAGCTGGGCTGGGCATCCCCCGACCCACAGCTGATGGACAGGCCGGGCTGTTAGTTCACTGTGGCTCCAGCCAGGGCCAGTGGACTGGGCAGAGATGTTAGGGAGAAAGCCCTGGAGCCCCTTTTCCTGGCTCCTTGCCCCTGAGGTGCCAGTTGAGCCCAGGGCATACAAGGTGTGTGGCAGGGCACCGAGCCATGGGCCCTGGGCAGGTAGGGGACAGTGGCTCTTGTTTGCAGGGAGTCTGGGTGTGGGGGAGGTTAATGCCAAGGGCACCTGCATGCAGGGCAGCCACAGGTGTGCAAGTCCCTGAGGCGGACGTGTGGCCTGCGGAGGAGTCCTCAGATGACCTGTGCTTGCTTGGTACACAGGGGCCCTGGCTGGCTATGGAGGCTGCTTGGTTCCCAAGCCCAGGCCCACTCCCCTGGGGGAGGCTGAGGTGGGCTGCGGGGGCCTGGGGCGGTGGGCAGCCCCATTACAGGGTCACACTGCCCTGGACGTATGTGGGGCTGGCCTTTCAGCCCAGGGAAACTGGCTGGGGCTAGCCCGCCTGGGATGGGTGGGCTGCTCTTTTTGGCTGCCAAATCCCTTGGAGAGGTGGCTGTGGTGCCACCCTGTGCCTCAGTTTCTCCAGGAGCAGAAGGAGATGAACTGGGTCCCCCTGCTGCCTCCCCAACCCCCTCAGACTTACCAGGCCTTTCCAGGAGATCTGACCAGCTCCTTCCCTTTTCCTATGCATTGCCTGAGTTAGCATTTATTATGCACCTACTGTGTGCCAGGCTCTGAGTGCTTGATGAACAGGTGTTCTGGGACCAGAGACCAGGCAGGGCCCAGAAGCCATAGCAGGGTGGCCAAGCTTAGTCTGTGAATTTGCCCAGCAGAGAAAACAGCCTGAGAAAGACCAGAGGCAGGAGAGAGCCCGCGGCCCAGGCAGGCAGTGAGGGCTGGAGAGGCTGTGGATGTCGGCTAGGGCTAGACGGCACCAGGGAGCTACGGAAGGTTGTTTCGGGAGAGGGCTTACCCTCATGTGATTTCTCATGTGAACAGCCTCATGGGTGCAGCTGGGCTGCAGTGGGGAGTGGCTTCTGGGTGTGTGAGGAGCCCAGCTCCCAGGTCTAGGGCACTGAGGCTGGCTCCCCCGCCGCCCCCCACCGCAGCCTTGGAGGCAGACACAGACCCCCGAGCAAGAGCCTGAGCTGGCTCTGCCCACCTCATCCCAAGAGAGTTATCTCGAGAAGCACGGGGGAGGGGCGGGGATGCTGCTGAGGAGTCTGTGGGTCTCATGACAGTCAGCCGGCCTGGCCCTTTCCTCATCAAGTTCCACGACTGGGTGAGGGCGCAGTGCGGCTGGCTGCGTGCTCCTGTGTCTGGGTGGGCACCCGGCTTCCAGCCCGAGAGCAGTGACTCCCACGGGACTCCCACCTCTGTGGCCTCGCTCAGAGCTGTCCATGGGTGTTCAGAGGGAGGATCCCAGGCCAGACACATAAGTGCACACACACCCTGAGCACGCACATCCCATGAGCACACACATGTGCACACACACCTGCAAGCCTGGAAGGGGCAGTTCCTCCCACCCAGGATGGACTTTTCTGACCACTAGAGAGCCAGTTGCCTCCCTTCCAGCCCCCAGGGCCTTGGTGACTTGGAAATACACCCAACCAGGCTCTCCCAGCTGGAGGCCAGAGGTGGGGCCCTGGGGCTGCCAGTTTAGATGCAAACTTGGGTTTGTTTAAGCAAAGTCCACCTCCTCCCCCATGGACCTGTTCTGGGCCTTCTAAGTACTCTCACTTAGCTGGTGACTGGTGGGAGTCCTCTATTTGGACGCAGCTGTGGAGCAGGCATGTCAGGGAGCCTCTGCACTCCCCAGCCTGTGTTCCTTCTCCCCTCTCGCCCCCAGCCCCCGCCTCCTGCCCAGGATCTGCTCCTCCCCCAAACACATTTCCCCTTGCCCTGCCAGCTCCCGCTCTGCCCCAGAATAGTCGTTCTTGGGGAGGCAGCTTTTCTGGGCCGGGCCGATGTCCTCTTCGGCTTTCACTGTGGTACCCCCCCCACCCACCATGGCATGCAAGGGGCTGACCTGGGTCTTGGGCTCCCTCCCCAGGGTGCAAGTTTGCACCGCAGGAGTGTTAATGGTAGTGTTGAGGCCAGGGCACTAGGGGGCCCAAGGAGGCAGGGAAGGGCATCGGGAAAGATACCAGGTGCCAGCAGCCTGACCAGCTGGGCCTGGCTCAGGCATGTCACTCCACATCCTCCTCTGTGAAGTGGGGCTTTGGTGACAGTCAACAACCAGTGTCCTGATTCAGGTGATGGGGCCACTTGCAGAGCCTGTCTGTGAGAGCCGGAGGGTGGGGCCGGCCAAAAGCAGCCTCCCCTGGACTCTGGGTCCCAGGCGGGGCTCCCTGAGGACCTTGGTCCTGGGAAGCAGTGCTCTTGGTGGGGGACTGGGATACTGGGGGCCTCCTCTCTCCCCACTGGTGCGGGTCCGAGGCGGGGCTCCCTGAGGACCTTGGTCCTGGGAAGCAGTGCTCTTGGTGGGGGACTGGGATACTGGGGGCCTTCCTCTCTCCGCACTGGTCCGGGTCCGAGGCTGGTAGCCTGGCCGGGCAGCCTTATCTCGAGGAAGCAGGCAGGATTTCCCCCTTCTGTTTGCGTCCCTGGGCTAAGCTCCTGCCAGCCCTGCGAGGGGTCCCCTCTCCGCAGCTGTGTGGCCAGAGAGCTCCATCCCTACCGCGGGCAGCTCAGGAACAGCTGCTCCCAGCACGGTGGCTGAGGGTGGGGCTGCGGACTGTCTCGCGTGGGCCAGCGGCAGGACCAGGCACTGGGCCAGCAGGAGCAGGGCTGGCCACGCCTCCTCCTCCTTCCCCCACGCAGGTTCCCAGCACAGGGTGTGCCCAGGGCCTGCTGTCTACACCCTCCCTCACCAGCCCCAGCACTCACGAGACTCCCCTGGAGCAGATTTGGAAGTGCAGCTGGCTGTCGCCAGCTCTGGGGCTGGGGACTGTGGTGCCCACCCCTACCCCCGCAGGCCTGTACTCCCCTGCCTGGCAGGTCCTTTCTCTGAGGATTTGCCTCCTGACCCTGTCTCGGGCCTCTCGGCAGCTGTCCCCCACCCCCAACCCATCCAGGCTCCCGCCTACTGGGTGGGGCTTTTTGGCTGGGGAGGCTGCGGAGGGAAGGGGAGGCAGCTGGGTTTCTGGGCAGACTTAACAGAACACCTGCCCCACCCTGAGTGCTGAGGCAGGGGAGCCCCTCCCTCCTCATGACTGCAGCTCCACCTGCTGGCAGCGGAGCAGCTGTGAGCCAGGTGACCCAGGGACCCTCCTCTTCTTCTAGCCCTGCTGGGGAAGTTGCCCCAGCCCCACCCCTACTGGCTGGGTCCCCTTGGGTAAGTGCTCTCCTCTCCCAGCCTCAGTTGTCTCATTTGTTACCCACCTTGGGGACTGAGGGGTCTGGCAGAGCAGGAAGGGAAACAGGCCAGACAGTGGCTTACCTGCGATTGCCCTTGGCTTAGCGGTGGGCAGGCTCTGGCCAGATTCCTGTCCCCTTCCTCAGGACAGCTCAGTCCCACGAATTTGCTGTGGGTCTGGTGTGGCTGGATTTCCAGGCAGCTCCAGAGGGGCCGGGGCAGCCTCAGCTGGTGGTCCCTCAGGGCTGGGGGGGCACTGGGGTGTCCTGGCAGGGCTACGTGGAGGGAGTCAGGGGGCAGGTGGGCAAGGAGTGGAGGCAGCCATTTGGGAGGCAGAGTGGTGGGGCTGGCCAACTTCTGTCTGTACAGGTTGGGGGTGCGTCCAGGTGGGAGCAGCAGGGGCCTGGCAGGTGGTTGGCAGTATCTGCGTGCCCAGGTGAGTGAGATGGGCCGAGGTGGCCAGGACAGGGCTATGCAGTGGGGAGACGGCCTTGCCCCTTTACCGCCTGGTTAGGGAGAAGGGGCCTGTGGGGGATACTGTGTCGGGGAGTTGCCAGGGGTACAATTCTTGGGCTGATACCTTGCCCAAGGCTGGCTTGGTGGGTGGAGGAAAAGGGTTGTCGCTCTCCTGGGCGGTCATGGAGGCCAGGGGTCTGGGCTTGGCCGCCTGAGCAGTAGGAAGGTGGTGGGGGGGCGGGATGATATGGGGATGAATTTTGATGCCTCCTGGCACCGGCCTAGCCCTGCCTGCCCTCACCTCCTGCCCTCCTCTTCCCTCTCTTGATAGAACCTCCTCCAGGAGACACCTTCCCCCAGCCCTGCCAGGCCTGAGACCAGAGCCAGAGGGGGCCTAGGCTGTGAGCCATTTTGCAGAAGGGCAAGGAAAGGCCCATGAAGCAGTGAGGGAGCTGCAGGGGCCTGCGCAGGCAGAGGTGCTCTTCGGATGAGCAGGCGTGGCCCTGGGGGTGCTTCTGGGGGCGTGATGTCTATACCCTGGCAACCCACAGTCAGGGCGGGCAGGGTGGCCCACATATCCACAAGGGAATGAAAGCTCAGACTGGGGATGAGTTTGCTCAGGGCGACACAGTACATTGGCCAGAGAGCAGCAGCCAGACCTAGACTCCTGTTGGGATTGGGCCTCCCCATTTTCCCCTCGTGGGACAGAACCCAAGGCCAGGACATCTACCGCAGGGGACAGAGGCAGCTGGTCCTGAGGCCAGTATACTGGCCCAAAGGACAGGGACATGCTCCCTCCCAATCTGGGTCTGGGGCAGGCGTGGGGTCCTTAGGTCTGAGCCCCTCCTCGTTACCAGCAACGCATCACTGCTGGAGGAGGCCCTGGAGCCCAAGCCAGGGTGCCAGAGTTGGAAGTTGGTGTAAGATTGGTACTGTTTCTTCTTGGAATATTTAGAGTATAATTTGGAGTGGGGGTTGGGTCTCGAGTTCTTTTTGTGCGACGGTTTTAAATAAGGGATTTGATT